CGGTTGTTCAATGTCCGATTAGCACAAATCGGAGGTAGAAGCTCCGGTTAGATACGACTGCTTTATCGATCACATGTTATATGCATGCTGTCGAAATCGTCGATAATGATGTTTAACTGGCAAATAGTGCTAACCAGACATTGATGAGTATGTATGTATAAAAACGTAAGGAACATACCATACATATAGATAAATATGTATATATATCATTCTTTCTTAGTTTAAAAATTCGTCTCTTACATAAATGAAAAAAATTAGATCAAATTAAGCATGTACAACTTTTTCGTGCCAAATATAAGTAAATTCTCCAAAGAGCTAAAAAAAGGGCTAGGGGCAATTTTAAATTTCTGTGGCCAAAAAAAGTATGTGGTAGCTAAATCTAGCCACCAAAGGGTTAAAACGGCAACACTGACTATATGCCAAGCCGTTTTCATTATTTTGACAACATTTGACGCCAAATATGACCTAATGAAAACCAGGCTATAGTGTGCATTGTGTACAAATACAAGTGAGATATCTTAGCAATAGACGTCATCCTGGCCCACAGCTGCGATCATCTGTTTTTTAGAGTTGCTTATTTTGGTCTTAACTGCTCTTTTTTGACCTGAGTTGCATTAAATAGTCTCTTAAAACTTGGTACTATTTGTTGTTCAAAGGGTAACATATATGCCCAAAAACTTGAAAAATATTAAATGATTGCTTTTTAAAAATACGACACCAGGTTGCTAGCTCCATCAAGTGATTGTACCATCAGGCCCGAAACATATAACTTACCAGCATTCTGGTACAATATTTATTTCTTTACAAATGAGGTCGAGGAAAGATCGAAATGATTAGAGCTGAAATTTCATATTTTTTCTACCATTTTGTTAAAAGTTTTTTTTTTTTTTATTTACAACTGCAATATCGTGAACTTAATCTTCCACAAACACGGCTTTGACTCATATTGTGCAAGAAATTTCCGCCAAAATACTTTTTACTTAGAAAATTGAGCTAATTTCACCACTCACGACACCAGCAGCTGGTACAATCACACCCAAGAACATACACGGTCAATCGAATTGATGGGCCATTTTCAAATTAAGCATATTAAGGGCCGGTTACTCAATGTCTGGTT